AGATAGGAGACTCATTCATACTTTTCTGCGCATATCTCTCATTGCCTGATTGGTAGCTCACCGATTTGGTTTTGATTACCATCGTAAAATGCATTGACTTCAGTTACCGAAGCGTCGAATGAGTCCCTAGTGTTGATTTCTTCCAACTTGTGAAAAGCACGGTCTTGCATCCACAACTCGAGTGTTGTCACGATTTGATAATACGAGTTTTTTGAGGTGAAGTTCAGCTATAGGAAAAATAACATAACATATTCTGTTTATGTATTGCAACACGCAGCTATTATATTTTGGAATGTTGCTCAGTTCTTTTTGTAAGTATAGCTTAAAGCTTGTTTTTTCGAGATGCTAAGATTAGGATTCATCACCATAAATTAGCTTCGAACAGATTAGAAGGTGACTTTCTGGAGCGGTCGATTTTACTCTTTCTGTCCTAGATGCGGGCAAAGTCTGTTCAGATTTTATCAAAACGAAAAAGCGTTTATGGTGCATTTACACAGAGCTTCTACCGAAGACCACACGCCAGTGACTATGCGGCAGGAATCCCGCGTAAGCTGGCACTCCCAGATCACGTCCGCAATAACGCGCTTCAAGCATGTGTATCATCATCGCTAAAACCACCCAAAGAAGCGAGAAACGGCAAAAAACAATGAATGAAGAAAATCAGAGTTGGACGGCGAAATCTGGAGGTAGTTGACCCTTGTAGAAGACATAGGTGCGACACTTCAGAGAACATGCAAGATGTGATGATGCTTTTTGACACACTATATTAGCTGACAAGAGGAAAAGCAAATATTCTTGCTTCAAAAAACAATCAGTGGAAACACTGCATTTCAATGAATGGAAAATGTAGCAAAAATTATATAACACTTTATTTAAACGTTCTTCATCCATTTTCTTCGTTTCTCTTCCTTTTCGTGCATATACCTCCGACTGAGAAGCTAGGGTCGTCTTTTGAATTCTAAACTTTCGCGCTAATTGCGTATATTTTTCTATTTGGGAACAACCAAGAGCGGAAAACGGTGGAAACGCAGAGAAAAATAGAGAGATTATAAGATTACGAGAGTGGTTACGTAAGATACATGGTGGTACCCTCAAATGTTGAAGTCAGAACTAAGAATGACAGTGAAAGTAGAATCATTCCTTTTATATCTAATTAAGAGAAGACTTTGGAGTCATTTTTGCATGTTTCCTTTAAAGTA